ACCGTGGTAGCATTTTTCATTGACATGGTAACAGGTAAACATTTTTTTTTACAAACGTGAAGGAAATATTTTGTCATGTACAATATGTTAGTGAGAAGCTACCAACTACAGCAGCCCAACACTTGGGCCTCATGTAAGATCCACAGCAGATGTACATAAACCCTGCAAGGTCAAAAGATTGTGAACATCGCTACGAATTTCTGAGTAATGCTTCATAAAAATACATTTTTTGACAATTGTGCTCATCTAACCTAGTGGCAACAAGTTGAAGAAAGCCCTTTTTTTCTTTCAGCATGACTGTGCTCCTGCGTACAAAGCTAGCTCCATAGAGCTATGGTTTGATTAGTTTAGTGTGGAAGAACTTGAGTGGCCTGCAGAAAACCTTGAACTCAACCCTACTCAACACCTTTCAGATCAATTGGAATGTTCATTACATGCTGGATCAACTAACATCAGCACCTAACCTCACAATAACTCTTTCACACAAATTCTCCCAAAGTCCCACATACACTCCAAGCTCTTGTAGAAAGATTACCCAAATGACTGGAGCCTTTCATACAAATTGGGTGGGGGAGCACCTTTATATTAATAGCAACAGTTTTGGAATAAGATCCACCAAGCTCATACAGATGTGATGCTCAGATGCCACAAACTCTACTGTGTTTTCATGTTGTGGGTTCAATCAGATAAGGAATTTTTTGGCATTGGCCAACATGTCCAAATGTACAGTCATTGTGGTTTTATATCTAGAAGGGTTAAGGAGGGCATACTTCTTTTTGGTTACAGGTACTTATATAGCACCATCAATTTACATAGCACTTTACATATATTTATATATGTGCGATTTTGAGCAACAACCTCCTTCCCTTCAGTCAGAGTATTGAAGATGGGTCGTGGCTTCACTTAGCTGCAGCTCTGGTTACTGAGGGATGTTCTCACACCTGGATGCCATCAGATTCTCTGCTCACACAGCTCCTGCATTCACCATCCTCCAAAACATGGCTGCTGTCTCTCCTTCCTGTCCTCTAAACTCTGTGTGAAAAACCCCACCTCTTCATGAATATAGAAATATCTATGCAGTCTGAGGTTGTGTTAGGAAAACAGTGGCATCTTGTGGCTAAACCGCAGAATGTCATTCCAGAACATTTAATTTACTCCACACAATAATTTATTGCACACAAACAGTGTTCAAACAATGAGAGCTGTTTCCCCATCTCACAGTCCTCCTGCACTGCATTCCTGTCACACTGCCCTTGTAATCTGCAGTATCAGTGCAAAGTTAACAACAACCCAAACGTAGGTCGTGTTTGCCCACATTGGCTTGCACTAGATCACATGGTACAAATGTACCATGCTATCCGGTTGCAGTGTGTTTTCAAAAGTAGTGCATGTACACTGCGGTGCAATTTCGCACCATTTAAAATGAATGGGCTGAAATTGCACTGCACAGAACTGCATGTGAACCGCACAACGACCACACAGCATTCTTGTGCGATACGATTACAGTTCCTAGTGTGAATGGGCTGTTATTGGCCAGATCAATAGATGAAAATAGAAGAAGCCTAAAAAAGAAAACAAATGCGTCAATCACATCTAAGAATTAGTAAGCTGCAATATAATAATTATTTGCTTTTGGGTTTAATCTGTGTTTCTTGTCTACAAATGTACAGTAATACAAAGTTACTGAGCAAAAAATGCTGTGTCTGATATAAGTAGATCTTTCTGCATACAGAAAAATATCCTTGCCAACAACCCTAAACAAAAGCCTATTTTGGCAAATACAATAAGCCTCATTTAAACAATGTAGAGTTTGTCTCTACACTTGCCACAAGGGCTGGTTCATACCATAGAAACGCAGTCCGGATGCGTTTCGGATGCATTTTCTTAATGCACTTTTTTATGTGTTTTTGATGCGTTCCTGTGCATTTTTTATGCATTCCGGTGCAAATGTTTATGCAAATCAGTGCAGAAAAAATGTAGCATGTTCTACTTTTTTTCTGGAACGCACTGAAACTGACTGCACTAGTGTGAACTATGCCATTGGAAACCATATAACCTACTATAAATGCGTTTTGATGCAGAAAAAAACACACTGAACTACATGTGGTGTGAACTGGCCCTAAATCTGATTATTGCTAGAATTTATTTTGGTCTCTAAACTGTAATTCTCATTCTGGGTTTCCTGAGCTTAGTTTATGATTGTATGACCCTAAACCTAAACTGTATTCGCTAAGCATAGTTCAAAAATTGTAAAGTTTTAGTCTGTATATTTACTTTAGAGAAGCTTGTAAAAACTCTGTTCAAGACATACAAACAGATTGAATGACATAATTCAAATTGCAGTCAAGAACACAAATTTCTGGTGATTACTCAGTAGGGCATAATTTAAAACTAAGCCATATATTTCTTACTAGCAGGAACAGTTAAAAGTGTGAGTGCATCAGTAAATACTACATAAAGAACCATGTGTGGAAGAAGCTGTGGGTGGCATAGTTACCAGCAAATTTTGAAAATGTTTGCTTTGAAAATATTTAATACTGTGTTGAAGGTTCAAAACTCTTAATATAAAGAATGCTTTTAGTAGAAAACTGTCTAAAAGCAGTATTACGAGACTAATAGCAAAGCGGGGATTCTGAACATTTCATTTTCTTTATTAAACCACAGTATTACTTTTCAATTTGACAAATCACCAAACAAATACATAAATAATATACTCATGCTTTGTGAAAGAAAGACAGGAATCTGACTGTTTGATCATGCATTTTTTAATGAAAGGACTGTGTGCAGTGGATGGGTTGGGCAACTGGTCACATATTGGTTGTAATGTGTGTGCGCAGTGTGTCTGAAGAAACTGTCCGGGATAACAGATAGGAAGAAGAAACAAACCAGCTATGTTTATAACATCTGAGAATCGGAAACTCATTACTATTGGGTATTTTGTGTATATGAACTCTCCTAGTTGCCCACAGCAACCAATTCCATACAGTATTTCTTCCAGTGCAGCATTGAAGGATGAAATTAAGAAAGAAAGAAATTGTCTGACAATTTGAAAAAAAAAACCTATGTTTTTTAACTTCTTAGTCATGTTTTCTGAATATATTATTTGAATTAAAAAGGATTCATTTATTAAATTTTTATGCTTATATTTGATATGTATAATTACCATTATAGTGGGGAACGCGTAGCTATTAATCCCTTCTTCCCATTTAACCGTTTGTAATTTTAGCATTTATCGTTATCTTTTGTTTGTATTTGTTTTTAATTATTTAAAAAGATTTGACAATGTTCTTGCATTGTCAAATCCTTTTAGATTGTTATATTACATTTTAACTTACATTACATAATATGAGTAAATACCATTGGAGAAAATCCTCACAGAACAGTGCTTTACACACTAATAAATGCACCAATCCATGTATAATAAAATAGGAATATCAATGATCTAAAGTGCTCTATATTATCCTCCACCAAGTGGATTGTGGATAATATGGTGGATAATATAGATCAATTTAGATTATTATTATTATTATTATACAGTATTTATAAAGCGCCAATAGTTCGCTCAGCGCTGTACATTACAAAGGGGGACAGAACATGTGACAGAACAATACCAATACAATGCAAAACATGAGGAGATCGAGGGCCCTGCTCTTTCGAGCTTACAATCTAGGAGGATCATTGATATTCCTATTTTATTTTACATGGATTGGTGCAGTTATTTTTGTTTTTTTTTTTTGTTGTGTAAAGTGCTGCTTTGAGAGGATTTGCTCCAATGCTATTTACTCATATTATGTACTGGTTTTTATTTGAATTAAGACAGCAGCTTACAGTGTTTTAATTATATATTCATCTCTTCACCACTTGTCCAAGAGCACGCAATTCAACTCATAGAGTGACTATCTTGCTTGTACATTTTAATTAAATTCTTACAATATAAATAGATTGCTTATGTCACCAGGAGGGTGGGTGGCACAGTGGCTACGGTTAGCACTTCTGCCTAGCAGCACTAGGGTCGTTGGTTTGAATCGCAACCACGTCACTACCTGCACACATTTTGCATGTTCTCCTTGTGCCTGTGTGGGTTTCCTACCACACTCCAAAAACATGCTGGTAGGTTAACTGACTCATGTCTAAATTGGCCCTAGTATGTGTACGTATGAGTTAGAGACCTTGCATTGTATGCTTCTCGCAGGCAGAGTGATGTGAATGTATAGCACTGCATAAATTTACACTGCTATAGAAGTACCTGTAATAAATAAGTAAATAAGAGGACAGAAACATTAACTGCTTCCTGACCGCCTTATAACAGATATACTGCTACAGGGTGGCAGAGGTGCGCAAAATAACGTAAATATAGGTGATTTCACAGTCCCGGGTAGGGGGTGCGCACATGGCGCGCACACACCCCTACCTGCACCACCATTCCTTTTCTGTAGCTGTCCATCACCGGGTCCTGGCTGGTGATTACTCGCCGGCACCCGGTGATTTCCGAGCATCTCCGACGAGGAGGAAAACTGTTTATAAACAAAACAGTTCTCCTCCCTGTCAGCTCCTGCACACTGCTTTGGATGGCTGTGCTCAGCACAGCCATCCAAAGCAGTGTGCTTACAGTGAAGCAGAAGGACACAGCACCAAGTAAAACAGTACACAGCACACAGTTAACCCTTTGATTGCCCCTCATGTTAACCCCTTCCTGCCTAGTGCAATTAGTACAGTGTCAGTGCTTTTTTTAGCACTGATCACTGTACTGGTGTCACTGGGGATGTCAGTGACACTAATCAGTTCCCCCAGTATCAGAATGCCCACTGCAGTCCTGCAGTCCCGCTATAAGTCGCTGATTGCTGCCATTGCTAGTAAAAATTTAAAAAAAAGTTCCAGTATCCATTTGTAAATGCTACAACTTTCACGTAAACCAATTAATTTACAGGTATTGGGAATATTTTTGGCAAAGACATGTAGTAGAATACATTTTGGCCTAAATTTATGACGAAATTTGATTTTTAAAATTTTTTTACTGGACATGTTTAACCACCTCCCGTCCAGCCGTTGTATATAAATGGCTGGACGGTGGCACTGCAGGGTCGGGTGGCCGTTTATAAACGTCTTCTCCGCACCCTGCCTGTGCGCGCTCCCTGGGAGCGCGCAGCACCGCGATCCGGTGCCCGCTGTGTCCTCCGGACACAGTGGAACACCGATTGATGGGCTGGACCTCTGTACGAGGTCCCGATCATGTGATCACTGAATGGCTGCATTCTTACTGTGAGAGCTATGATTGGTCACAGCTTGTCACATGGTACAAGGCTGTTGTGAATAGCCTTTTACCATGTGATTTCTGTGATCATTCACAGATTTAACAAGTAGTAAGCAATGATGTCACAAGTGACATCTTGCTTACTACTATTCATGTGATCACTGATTTGCCAACCAGTGACCACATGATTGGGACCTCACATAGAGGTCCTGTACATCGGTGTTCCACTGTGTCCTCTGGATCGCTCCGGATCACAGGCTAAAATGGTGGCCGCCGTTTATGAATGGCAACCCACTCGTGCAGTGCTCCTGTCCAGCCGTTTATGTACATGGGTCGGATGGGATGTGGTTAAACTCAGGGAACAATTACTTTGCTAAGTGAACAGTCTCACATTAGTTGTGCGATTTTCAGTGCAACTTTGGAGTCCGACTTTGATACTACTTTGAAGTGACTTTGATACAGCTTTTACACTCTGTGGCACAGAAGCCCTTATCAGAGTCCAATCAAACCTTTTCTGAAGTCGCAGCGACTTCCGTAGTGCTTATTGGAACAGCTCTCATAGAAATACATGGCATTTCACGTCTTGCAACTTTGGGTCTCACAAGTCGGATCCTAATTCGCGAGAGTGGGAACCAAGCCTAAGGTAAATGGCACTGAAATCACACCTATGTCTATATTAGTGCTACTTTGAAGTTGCGCTTTAAACACCACATCACTTTGAAATCAGATTCAGCGAGAACCAGAGCTAAATTGGTTTAAGAAATTCTATTCAAGTATGAATTCTTAACTCAAAAAGTAGCTTCTATTGCTTTCAGTCTCCTACAAGTCTCCAAACTGCTTTTTTTGGCTGCTGTGATCTGACTTCCTGTTAGAGGGTAGCTTCTTTTGTTCTCACGGTCCCACTCTATTTAAGAACATGGACTATGGACTATGTGATGTGTAATGCACATACTGTAAAGCAGTGCACATGACCACAACTAACGTATACTGCTCATTCCAAGCGAAGAGAAGTGAGGGGGAAAAAGAGAGGTCTGGGAGATTAAGGGGGATGTTACAATGAGACCATAAAGCACTATTTATGTAAAAATAGATTACATTACCATTAAGTAGTGGATGTGTATGGATCATTGGAGATCAATGAGAATAAGTATATCATTTAGTGTCACTTTAAGCTTTGAAAATGAAAGACAGGAGCTGATTGGTTACCACACACAAACTGCTCTAGTTATGCCTGCTCCAGTTTTTTATATATTCCTGGTACTGTCTTTTTTATTTTTTTTTACAGAGACTAGTACATAAGATAAAGCTGTGTAAACCCTTACATTTACCCAGTGAAGTGACTGGCCTCAGGCAATACACAGAAATGAAAAAACAATCCTCCTACACAAGTTGTACCTGTTTATCTACCGCTGTCTTTCCACTGCATCCATTAAAATTGCAGAGTTTAAACAGAATCTCTCAGCTCTGAAAAGCAGGGGGTGGGGAGCTGAAGTCATCAGTGAGGGGAGCTCTGAGAGCTGAGTGGAGGAAAGGGGCACCCCCCCTTTCACACAGCACATAGGAACAGAGCTAAGGCTGTCAATCACAGACTGTGCCCTCCCCTGGCACCATTTTTCTCTTGGTGTTAGGAAAATTAGTCAGAAGTGACTCGTGCTTTTAACAGATGAAGGAGGCAGTGGACAGAAATAACACTTAGTGATCCAGATTGAGACAATTACACGCTATAGAGGGATGTGCTTTGTTTATATTTCATGTCTGAGGTTTACAATCACAAAAACATTTTTTTATTCTCTGTACATGATTGTACAGTGCCTGGAAAAAGTATTCATACCCCTTGAAATTTTCCACATTTTGTCATGTTACAACCAAAAACGTAAATGTATTTTATGTGGTAGACCAACACAAAGTGGTACATATTTGTGAAGTGGAAGGAAAATGATAAATGATTATCAAAATGTTTTACAAATAAATATGTGAATAGTGTGGCTTGCATTTATATTCAGCCCCCCCCTGAGCCAATACTTTGTAGAACCACCTTTCGCTGCAATTACAGCTGCAAGTCGTTTTGGGTCTCTACCAGCTTTGCACATTTAGAGAGTGAAATGTTTTCCCCATTCTTCTTTGCAAAATAGCTCAAGCTCTGTCCAATTGAATTTAGGTGTGGACTTTGACTGGGCCATTCTAACACATGAATATGCTTTGATCTAAACCATTCCATTGTAGCTCTGGCTGTATGTTTAGGGTCGTTGTCCTGCTGGAAGGTGAACCTCTGCCCCAGTCTCAAGTCTTTTGCAGACTCTAACAGGTTTTCTTCTATGATTGCCCTGTATTTGGCTCCATCCATCTTCCCATCAACTCTGACCAGCTTCCCTGTCCCTGCTGAAGAAAAGCATCCCCACAACATAATGCTGCCACCACCATGTTTCACAGTGGGGATGGTGTGTTCAGTGTGATGTGCAGTGTTAGTTTTCCACCACATATAGCGTTTTGCTTTTAGGCCAAAAAAGTTCAATTTTGGACTCATCTGACCAGAACACCTTCTTCCACATGTTTGCTGTGTTCCCCACATGGATGCAATGGGACTTCTTATGGCTTTCTTTCAACAATGGCTTTCTTCTTGCCACTCTTGCATAAAGGCCAGATTTGTGGAGTGCACAACTAATAGCTGTCCTGTGGACAGATTCTCCCACTTGAGTTGTGGATCTCTGCAGCTCCTCCAGAGTTACCATCGGCCTCTTGGCTGCTTCTCTGATTAATGCTTTCCTTGCCTGGCCTGTCAGTTTAGGTGGGTGGCCATGTCATGGTAGGCTTGCTGTTGTGCCATACTCTTTCCATTTTAGGATGATGGATTGAACAGTGCTCTGTGAGTTGTTCAAAGCTTGGGATATTTTTTTATAACCTAATCTTGCTTTAAACTTCTCTACAACTTTATCCCTGACCTGTCAGGTGTGTTCCTTGGCCTTCATGATGCCGTTTATTCACTAATGATATATATCAAATCTCTGAGGGCTTCACAGAACAGCTGTATTTATACTAAGATTACATTACACACAGGTGAACTCTATTTACTAATTAGGTGACTTCTGAAGTCAATTGGTTCCACTAGATTTTAGTTAGGGGTATCAGAGTAAAGGGGGCTGAATGTAAATGCACAAAACAATTTTCTGAGATTTATTTGTAAAAAATTTTGAAAACCATTTATCATTTTCCTTCCACTTCACAATTATGTGCTACTTTGTGTTGGTCTATCACATAAAATCTCAATAAAATATTTAATTTTATAATTAAATGACGTTTTTGGTTGTAACATGACAAAATGTGGAAAATTTCAAGGGGTATGAATACTTTTTCAAGGCACTGTATATTCAGAGATAACAGTGAACACAAATTCACTTTATTTACTATGATTTACTTTGAAAAGTGAAGATTCACTTTAATGTGAATTTTCACTTTTAAATAAACAGTTTTGAATGCTTTAGTAAATCAGCTCCATGGTCTTACCTAATGTATGTCAATCAACACTTTTAAATGAATTGAGTTGGAGGCTATGCACAGTTTTTGATGGAAATTCAATAGGAATCTGAATCAGGAGTATGGAATCCTACAAGGAAAAGTTATACTGAGCTGTTAGCTGTAAAGACATATCATAGATATCCTGGCAGCGGTATGTTTAACTTAAATAAGCACACAGTCAAATTTGTCAGTTAAGTCTTGCTCCATTATTTCATATACCTGAGCCAATCATAATAATTATTCTAAGCCAAGGTTGTGCTTCCAACTATGTCAAAAGGTAAATTCTACTTTATTTCAAAATATTGCAATTTTCATAGAGGAAAAAAAAAACCTCACTGAACACTTTGAATAATACTGACTGAGAATTGTGACAATTATGGCAACTTTGTTGCCAAGTGAAACAAATTTACACAGGAGGGAATACGGGACATGCTACTGAATCCATTTAGCATTCCCACAGATGTTTTATTATGAGCAGTTAGATGTTTTCTACCATAAACAGCAAACATAAACCACTTAGCTAGAGTTTACTTTTTCTGAAAGTGCTGTGTAATTAAAATTCTTGGATCATATAAAATGAGACATTGTAAGAAAAAGGCTAATGTTCACTCAAATGTCTACACACCTAGGTGTTTGTCCTTTCATTAGGAAATAAAGTTACACCGTACAGCTTTAGCTGTCATTAAAATTGTACTAAAATTAAATAGTTTCAGGTGATAACGTGAGATTTGCAAGGCCAAGATGTCCTTAGAGAGGAACTCCAGTCTCCTGTGTGAAAATGAAGTCAGCAGCAAAAACTTTTCATAAACAGACACTCACCTGTCCCATGATCCAGCATCATGCTCACCCATTTTCATCTCTCATCTACTGTCTTTGGTGCTGACATCTTAACTGTGGGCACCCGGCTGTGACAGCCTTAACTATGGGTTCCTTAACTGTGGGCACCCGGCTGTGACAGCCTTAACTATGAGCACCTTAACTGTGGGTACCCAGCTGTGTTTACAGTCGGGTGCCCAATGAGCATGTGCGAGCCACGCTATTCATTATGAATGGTCCTTCAGTTTTCTGGGACCTGTCATGTGCCCAGAAGACCGCAGGGAGGGGGGAGGGAAAAAGATCTTCCACTTCTAGGCGATCAGAGTAAAAGTGGGAGCGGGTACCTGTAAGTGCCATTACTGAATGAGGAGGTGGGGAGCAGACCTTAAAGCAAAACATCCGCTTTTGGATGGAACTCCGCTTTAAGTTGAAAGCTTAAAGTGGTTGTAAAGGCACAAGGTTTTTTACCTTCATGCACTCTATGCAAGAACGTAATAAAAACCTTCTGTTTCAGCAGTGCCCCCCAAATACCAGGCTGAGCCCCCTCTCAATCCAGCAATGTGCATGAAAACCTTGGCTGTCCCCGGTCTTCCCCTCCTCATTGGCTGAGAAAACAGCAGGAGCCAGCAGGATCCCACTACAGTCAATCATAGCCAGTGAGCCAACGAGGGTTAAACAAAGTACAGAAGGCATAATGACCAGAACCTTATTTGACAATAAATGCATGCAGGATGCAAGTCCTTGGGGAGGCATGTTATTACTCCTTTTATGATATCTATTAAAATGTTACTAAACCCACAGCAATAAAATCAGTCTGTATGTGCAGTAAAGCATGCTTGTTATACTCACTATGGAACCTAAGGGGTTAATCCTCTGCATTGTGTAAAAAGGCTGTTTGATCCTTTTTTCTCTGATCCTCCTCTTGTTCAAATGTCCATG